AATTATTTCTTATCTTAGAAGTGGCAAAATCGATTATAATTATCAAATCGAGTCAAATTTTTTCACATCTGAAAAAAATAAACATAATAAAATAATTGGTATTTAGGAAAAAGAATATGGTGATGAAGATAATAAGTTTAAATTTAGAATTATGAAATCATCAAAAAAAAAACCATTTGAAAAAACAAAGTGTTGCTGGTCTTAGTTGTGAAAAAGGAAATAGAAAAGTTCTTAATGCTTTTTTATTATGTTTTGTTGAAGATGGTGAAGATGTTAATTATAGTTCGTTAAAAGGGAGGGCTGTTCTTAAAGGTGTCGATAAAGAAGCGTTTGAAAAAATTAAAGGACATCCTGAAGAATTAGCAGCGGCAATTTTTTCAAAATCTCATAGTGATTATGAGATTAAATTTATTGGAAATTAATTTTTTTTTGTATTTTTTTTTTTATTTAAATTAAATAGAAAATAAAATTTGAAGACGTTCAGTCTTTTTTAAACCGTGATTTCAATTACAAAAAAACTTTTTATTTGTTTTCCGTTTAAATTTCCTGTAATCTTGTCATGAGCCAATTTAAATTCTATTGCTAATTGTTTTGCTTGTTCATAAGTTCTGTTCTTTGTAATACCAAACCATTTCAATTTATGTTTGTTATTTTCAATCCATTTAAATCTCCAACCATTTCTAGATTTATTGAAAAAATTCTATTATAACCAGATCGATTATTTTTTCCAAGTATAATTTTTCAATAGATGAAAATTTTCCTTATCAAGTAGGAATGTGATTTCTGGTTTTTGAGTTTTGATTTCTAAATAGTGAAATTAATTTTCACGAGGCGATATTCGTTTAATTTGAGTCTTGTTTTTTCAGAATTCTCATATTTTTCCCAATCAGTCAGGATTTCGAAATCTTTAAATTTTTCTTGCCAATTCATTTTTTTGTTAATAAAAAAATCTATAAAATGAGCTTTTATAATTTTTATTTCTCTGAGTAAAAAAAAAAAAATTGTGA